ATTCCGGGGAAGGAAACAGGTTCGGCTCCTATTATGTACAAGTATATTTTTAGCCAATGCTCGCTGGGTCAATGCTCGCTGGGCTTCTACTTTATAAGTTTTATATTCTATCTTATATTTAAAATTTGACATGATTCTTTGAGGGAATCATATAACCGAAACGAATTGTAATTTCTTTCGTTCGTCCACTCATTTGAACACTACATTTATCTGGGAATTGACATCATACAAGCAACTGTGCCCTAATTCAGTTTACCACCAGCAGTGGTAGTAGTAAGACATTGCTTGGACACCCTGACACGTGATACACACACAGTGAACACCAAGGCAGCCAGGTGTGCACGTCCAGGCCCGATTAAAGCACAAAGTCTAAAAGGGAGCGCAAGGTGTCGGCCTGGATGCCTGGTGGACGAGGCGAGAAGACGCAGCCCTGTTGGAAATTCTTGGTTATTGAGTCATTATGGCGAAAGCCGTATACCAGTTTATTTTATTAGGTAATAAATCGTAATGTCATGGTGACGTAAGAATGATGGATTCATTATGCCTTCATGAGAGGTTCATGACAGATTCACAATGAACTTATGCCGCCATCGTGATGGCATTATGAGGACCATATAGTGGTGTGATACGGTGGATATCGACGATTATTTATATCAGCGTAGTGTTTCAAACAAGCATACTGCCAGCACAGTCATATACCCTTGTAGGAAGTGCTGGAGCTACAATTGCAATTTAAAAATTTAATCTCTCAGAAATGCTTTAGCATTTATTTATTCCTAAAAACAATTTACATGCAGCGAAACTTAATTGTACTTAAAGAACGAGAATTATAAATTAGTAACTCAACGGAAGTGCACTTTGAGCTGTCAAAAGAAGCTGCATATCACTTTGCTCAGGCGTTCCTGGCTTGTGGGTGAAGAACCATCAGAACCTCGATATACGGTGGTAGTGCACCTGCAACATGAACATTTAGTAAAGATGAGATCAAAAGTATGCATGATTCACCTGTCATAAAGTGGGACTAAGAAAAAGACAAGTGAACGAAAATCTAAGGTACCGCTTTGATACCATTCCTTGTGCCATGAGTTTTAACATATTTTGATTTCAAGGAACGCCTTTTTTGATTGATAGACAAATAACTATCTCCAGTCTCTGCATTAATGTAATAAATAGGTGCAACGTAATCCAACAAATGTGTAATCATATGGCGCATAGTCCTGCATGAATGGGTGACTCGGATGTTTAAATATATACATAGGGTAATTGGAGACATATAAGAAATCGGCTGCTTCCATCCAATGAGAAGTAATATGACTGCGCGAAACAAGGTTTACATTTTGTCCTTTCTTTTGAAAGCTATAAGTTTATTTACTGATATTTAAGTGCAAAGGTAGACCACCTAGTCGCACCTCTGCACTAAATTGCAGTACGAATGATTAAAATCCAGAGTCTCGTGGATGGTGCAAAGTGGACTCGAAACATTTGCTTACACGCTGTAAAAAGGCGGGCGTCGAATCGTGGGAGTCTCAGCCCAAATTCGAACCGAGTAACTAGGAATTCGTTCGCTATCTAAATTTTAGAAAAGCACATATTAGCAAATAATACGGCTATTGCCCACATTTTGTTGAGACGTATACGTCGGGGTTAAAACTAGCGCAAGTATCGGCATGCCTGGTGAATGTTCGCCTCAATGGCAGATCTTCTCGAAGCCGGCACATTCAAGTTTGGTACATATATCCACGCCCAACCCGATCCGTTATTTCATTGACAGGTGTGTCAAATCGGTCAGAAAGGCTTTCACGTGGTGAACGCCACACCGGCAAAAACTACGCGTCACACGAAACCGGTAGTTCCCTTTTCTGAAGCCTCCTGTATTAGTATGTTTTAAATATTATGCGCTAACTTGAAACGGTTGATCACCTTGGTTGGTAACGTTTAGAGAGGTTAGACTATAAGGAAAAAAGGATGTTTGATAAAAGAAAAGAAGGCGAGTTATGCCTAACCACTTGACAGCCGGGAGCCCTGCGTGACGAGCAGAAGCCCATTTTCAATAATCGGCAGGATGCCTTTTATTCTTGTGAATTTGCCATAGCAACAGCATGCATAGTCGGTGCTTTACTGGGAAATCTCAATGAAGAAATTATAATGAAAAACGGCATGAAAGCATATCGTGGGATCGAAAAAAGTAATAAGGGTATGCGTGATGGATCTATGTCGGATTGATGATACAGCAATGAAAAATTCATTATAAATGCAGTGTTTTTACAGACGATTTGTGACGCAGTCACGATGTATGTATAATGAATTAAGAATGAAGTAGAAACGGTTTTATGATAGTCATATTATAGCGTAAAACGCTGGATAACGTTGCATTCGTACATGAGTGTAGTTGCTCAAACAAGCATGAAGTTACAAACTGACGCACTGTTGTCCTGGTTCTCATGGCTCAACAACAGCAATGCGAAACTGAAATCGCTTAGTAAATTTTCTAGCAGGAATTTATTTCTACTAAAGTTATACACAGGAAAGCTTTGCATTTTTCGAAAGACAATAATTTCTACTTTTTACTGAACAAAGCTTACCATTGAGTGGTCAGAAAAAAAACTCAATCTCTCCCTCTTCAGGACCGTGTGAATGGTGGGCGGAGAGACAGCGGAACCATGCAATATTGAAAAATATTATTCGTATGAGAAATTTCTTTGTCCAATAAACACATATTAATGTTACAAGATACATAAGAGCATATTAGAACCATTAAAGGGATAGTCCGCCGTTTTCTCGAACTACCGAAGCTAATGGTATTTTCTGAACGCTGGGAATTCGCCCTTTCTGAAATGGTCCTTGACATCTTGAAATTGACTGTAGTTAATTAGAAAAGTCCAAATTAATACGATAGCGAAACCATATTCGTGACTTCCGGCCGGGAGGTTTCGGTTTCTCGTGCGGTGGTGCTGTGACGTCACTGTTGGGTAGGCATGGCGGGCATGGCCAGGAAGGCTGTGGCGAGACGTGCGGCTGGTGCGGCTAGCTTTCTTTAGGAAACAAATTGCGCAGGCGTTTGACTCGAAAAGCATCCGCAGCTGCTCCGAACTCGACACCGCGGATTTAGAGTTCGATCTCCGTGAGTCTCTGTTCGCCTTCGATCCGCCGGCGTTGCCTCATCGCGCCAACGGCGGTGGCGAATACGGTCTCCCGGCCCCGCTGGGCAGTGCTACCTGTGCAACCCGCCGACAGTGATGGAGACTGGTAAGACTCTTTGAACATTTCTCTTTTTCTATTATGTCGGTGCTCTCTACTGATCACGTACACTTGCCACAGGTGTTCCTGCCACAGGTGCTGCCCCGCGCTGCGGGACGAAGATCTATGTTGTGCGGAAGTTTCGTGATGGGTCCGCTCCTTGGTATCAGTTGCATCACGCGCCACGAGACGTTCTTCTGCAGGGACGTACTCGAAGTCTACGCTCGTCACGTGCGATACTACTCACCGATATACGTGGAGTGCTGCGACAACAACCGGTGGGGAGTCCCCACGAGGTCTGCCCGTGAATGTTAGAAAGCGCGCGCGCTCATGACTTTTGGTGGGTTCCTCGGCGCACGAGGGTCCGTGCATCCGAGGCCACTTCTTGAAGCTGTGAGCACGTTCGTATAACCTTCACAGCACGAATGCGAGATTTACGCTCGAGCACGTCTATTTCCTAGGAGCCTGGTGTCGCTAGTTTATCCCCCCGCACATTCCAACACGCACTTGTTATGAAACGCTAGTGTGCAGCGCTACCAAATCTAGTGACGCGACCGCGTGAGTCTGCCTAGCGTCCCATTTGCGCGAGATAAACCGCGATACCAGTACTCTCGCTCGCGCCAGTAGCTTTGACATCTTTGTAGGAGAAGCTGTCATATGTTCGTGATGTGGCACACATGCAGGAAACACCAGGTGCAATGGCAAGATAAACCAAAATATGCTTGAATTTATTTGCTAATTACGTTATTTCGTACGACTCAGGTATACAGTCTACAGGCTCTCCGTGTGGTGGGTGTGGGGCTTCCTGGGAGAAATAAATTTCCAGAGGCTGACAGCTTGCGTGCTTTGGTGCATTCAGGAAGCTTTCCCATCAACCGAATAAGTCATGTGTGCGTAGGTAAGTGAAACAAGAACCCTTTCGGGGGATTTTTTTCTGGTCCGACCGCCCCCTCTCTTCTCAACCCCCACCGCCCATGAGGGCGTGAGGCTGTTGCATGTTGAAGCTGCACTCCATAAGCGACGAGGCACCACAGGCTAATCCGACGCTTTAGACAAACCGTGTGTGGAGAGTGCCTACACCAGGCTACACCACGTTCGAGACTCCAAAAATTCTATCAGACTGCAGCCTTCATTTCTCTACACTGCGCTTCGTCAGTGGTCATTGATATATATATATATATAAGAGAGAGAGAGAGAGAGAGAGAGAGGTGAACTACACGATGCGACAGGAGCCCACAAAAGTTGCCCCCCCCCCAGATCAGATGTACTTCCGGAGCTCCTGATCCCTGTTCATCCATTTATGCCACATTACCCGAACATGCACTTCCTAAAAGTGAACAAAAGCAAGTCTTCAGGGCACTATTCTCACAGCATTACAGAACCAAAATGCAGAGTAAGCCATTGACAGTATAGAAAACAAGTTGCTCCGGGTGCATCTGTACACCAGACATGCCTGTTCAGCTGATGGCCAGCTGAAGTACACTAAAACGAGTATTTACGCTAGTTAGCAGATATTTTGCGAATTTTGCAAGCAGCAGGTTTTGGAATTATTTAGTGGAAACAATCGGCACTGGAATGCCCTGTATTCTGCATCGTGGCATGCATCATGTGTGTGATCTACCCTTCCCAATTGTTTTTCTGAAATTGCAGAATCCACAATTCTTTTTTTAAAATAGCAATGTTCATGATAATTAGCGTCAATTACCAAAATAATTGACGTTTTTTGTGATAACGTAGACTTTATTGCAAACAAATAAAAGATGGGTGCTTGTTGACTGATTGCTTTATTTTCAGTGCCACACAAACAGTTCTATGCCTGTTTAGAGGTGCACTACATCGAAACGATAGGAATTCACATCTCCAAAACAGATGTTGACAAGTCGAAACGAAACACATATCAATGCACTTTCTAAATGTATGCTCGCATCCAAAAATATCAATATCAAATTTATCTCAGATTCAAATTTGTTAAGAACCAGTTGCAGACGGATAATGGGGTCAGTGTTGTGTAAACGGAAAGGATAAAACAATGATCGCACACAGCTAGACCTTTGCACAACACGCAGATATACACTGTTTAGAATCCCATTAATGACCTTATGCAGGGACATCAAATCCCGCATCATTCGTCTATTACACAAAGAGTGTAAGTCAATCAGCTAACATAATCTCTCATAGTTATAAAATACCTTGGATTGCAAGTAGCGGCCATAAAAGAGAAATTTTCTTGTACTCGCTCAATAACACAAGAGTTAGTCTGCAATGCTGTTTCAAACTAGAGAAAAATCAAGGCGGCTTCGAACAAGAGAACGAAAGAATGCTGGAAAACAAGGTGCATTCTTAAAATCGCTCGATATATGCATAATGAACCAAACACACTGAGCAATGACAATATTTGTAACTTGATGATTAAAAGAAAATTTGGTATCTAAATAAACACCCAAAGCTCTAATCAGAGACACACGGCTAACAGTATTGTCTAAAACATAGCAAAATTGCAAAATGTCACGTTTTCTGCTGAGACAAATAACTGTTTTTGATTCGTTCATTACAATACCATTAGACGACCACAAAAAAAAGTAAAGCATACATCATGCTGTAGATAAACACAGTATTTTTCAGTCAATATAATTTATGCCATAGGCAAATAACCACATTTTTGAGTATTTCACACACAAGGCAAGGTAATTTAGAAAGCTAAAAAAACAGCAAAGGGCTGAGGTTGCTTCACACTGGGACGCCTGACAAAACGAAGAAAGGGTTCAATAGGCAATTAGACACACACACCAAGTTCTCACGTTAAGACAAGTAGCTCTCAAAAAGGTTGCAACGCCTGGGGTATTACAGAAGTCTGTGATCCAGATTGTCAAATGCATCTGTCATATAAGTCGCGAAACACGCGAGCCCATGCTCATGGCTTGATGGCGTCCTTGATGATGATAGCAGGCTGTCTGTTCAGTGTTCACTGCTGTCAACAGCAACCGCGCAGCTGCTTTGACATTTCATGTAGAAAAACGTGACCGATGCCTTGCAACTGCTTCACCCATCGATGGTTTGGGACCACATTTGCTGCTGAGTGTGTCGTGCGACACCCGGTACGTAGCTTTTCCGGCGATCGCATAAGTGGGCCACCTGTTCACGCACTCCAGCACAGCGTCGCACAGCTTCCGCACATAGTCTGCAAAGTACAAATAGAGTGAAGAATTATTACCACCTGTACTTTGCTTTCTCCATGTATAGACATTCTTTTTCCTCTCCTCTAAACTCACAGCCAAAACATTTCAGATTAGCTTTCCTTCGCTCCGTACAGAACAGAACAACTTCCGTATTGAATAATTCTGTTTGTGACCCGAGCATTATAAATGTTATGTGCTGAATATTGTGAGGCTTACCATATGTCACGCTTTCTTTGACAGGTGCAAGTGTCCACCGCTTCTGTGCCTTCGAGCATCTCTGGTAGAACTTGGGGCTCCCATCCTCATCAAGGAGCACGTCCCTGCCTGCATTTTGATTGTAGTGCAGGGCTGCGATGTAGGTGCTGCAATGATGATGTGTACATATTTGAATGGTTATCCTGGGGTGCTCATAAAATTAATGACATTAAAACTGTACCATGCACTTTCAATTTCATTGTCTAGTTCAATTTTTCTCACCGTGCGAGCATTCCGTCATACTGGAACTTGCTGGACTTTGGAGCAAAGTGTATCAAAACTGCATGAAACGATTCCAGCCCGAACGTCTGTTCCTTTGGGGACAGGAAGGGTATGTCCCTCAGCAGGTTGGGTGCCATCAGGATGGCTTCAAGCTTCCTGAATGTCTCTGTGCCTGGGCAAGTTTATAAACAAAACTGTGTTATGAAGTATACCAAGAAGCGGTCAAGCAGACCCAGCATTGGAAAATGTAGACATCTAGAAGATACTTCAAGTAAACTACAAGTTTACTTGAAGTAATTCCAAAGTTATATTCAATAAGTATACCCTACGGTGGTCACTATACTCCTATGAAATCTGCATATTGTGTCTTATTTTATTGGAGTGCTACACCAACTAGAGTATTATGAAGCACACACAGCCCGACAATTGGGAGGCCACTTTCTTGGGGAAGTCCAAGTGGAAACGAACATCACAGCATTTTTACCGGCTTTGATATTCGCATCAGTTGGACAATGACACTCTTGCACGCATCTATGACTCACCCTGACTGAGGTTGCGAAGCCATACGACCATCTAATAATTCTGTGTTCTTTTCGTTGGCGGAATCGGTTAATGGTTACCATTGCCTATGAAAATGTTTGGTACCACACAATGTGGTAACAAACTGTTCCTTTCAATATAATAGGACACCTCATGGCGTCTCGTCCTCATTTATTTCAAGCGAATTGTTACTATGGTGGTCAAATGCACGAACGTTGCCTATAGTATCACATTGTTGCATGAAGTATTGTGCTAGGCTCTGCTGGGCTCATCTCTGCACTGGAAGCTTTTGGAACAAACCTTGTGAACATAAACATTGGCTTCTATGTCAGCATTCCAATCACGTTTTATTGTTGGAGCGTGGTTCTCAGCTTTCGAAGTTCCTTAACTCAAATTTAAGCAGAAACATGCTAACTCGCACAACCAATCTAACTGCTAAATTCTCGCTTTTCACAGTCAACATCTTTTGTAATCATGTTGTATCCTTAATTTTTTCTTTGTATACACACAAACCCAATCTAGGCATTATTTTTGCTGTGAATAATATGTGAGCATCTTCAAGAACAAAAATAAAAGCCTGCTCGGCTCGTGTCAAAGCACGCTGGTTATTGTTGAAATTTAGGACAAGCAGCACACGGACTGCTTGTAGGGTTTGTATCACGGTTAGGTAATTGTATAGAGTTCGACATCAAAAGGACACTCTTGCGTTGAATGTGTCTCATGCTGACCTCGCTCATATTCAACCAGCTGCTCTAACTGATCACAACGAGTAGCGCTAACTATTTATGCGATCGATATGAGCACCGTTCGCACAGAAAAATGACAACTCTTTATTAGGCATGTGCAAATAATGGATTTTGGGTTTGAAGCAAATTTAAAGGTAATAGTAGCTTTGGCCAGATATTTTTTAATTGAATATTACATAGTTGCTGCACCTTTCTCCATGCCTTTCACTACTGTTACGCCATGCTTGAACAAAAATTCAGCTGAACTCGCAAAGGTTGTTCCCAAGCTTCTAATTGCCCACTTATGAGCTCTGTTAAATTTAATCTGGGTATATTTATAGACTTTGGCTATATCTTGGTATATTTATAGACTGACAGTCCAATGCCAACATTAGGATGGGAAGTAAATGACAGAGTTAACATAAAATTAAACCTATAAGGGAGCCTCGTCATACCTCATTGAAAGCACTTATAAGTTCTTCTTGCTATTTGAAGATATTTTCTTCAATTATGAGAACAAAACAAACACAAGTAATGAACACAGGTTGTTAAAACATTGCTGCCTATCATAACCCTTGCATAAAAGCCACAGTTGAATTTTGGACAATTTTTTACTGCAATATAAATACATATCACCAATAACAATTTCTTTTTTTTTTATTACATCAGGCACGCACATGCTTCATACCCACTGATCTCCCATATATGATATAGGGGGCTGGACGGCACATTGAGCAGACAGGTATGGTATGAAACCACTGGAAGTAAGCGCCCTTGACAGGCTTTCTAACTCTTCCGAGTGCTGAATCGAACAGCGAAGCAAACAGACTGCTTGTTGTGAAGTAACAGCGCATGCGGACCCGAGAAGTCTCCTGGCAAACCATTCAATGTGAAAATTTTGAGATTCTAGTTGATCAAGTGTGCGTGTGTCCCACAGTCAAATGCCTCATTTTCGGGATTTAATCCAGAACGGGAGTATTAAAACCCAATCAAAAAAGCATGGACTGAAATATTGTCCAGCTGCACTAGGAAGCCCAGCACACGCAAGGCTACTGGGACAAGCATTGAACTTCTGGTGGCTTCACGTGCGCCAGGCTCGGAGAGCAGCTATCCGCCATACAGCCCCCTATAGTGGAAATCAGTGGTTATACCACTTGATGGTGTTTTTTTGCCCAAGTACGCAGCTGCACTGCGGTGAAGCGAGTTACAAGATTGCAGTGTCAGCTCAGCGAATATTGCTTCTTCGCAGTGCATCGGTGGTTGAGGAGAAGCACACTCAAGGGGGCTAACCCGCCGCGATCAACACTTTGAAAAGTATGGATATTGCAGTTAATTTTGAAGCTAATATCAAATAGCGTATAATTTAAAACTAGTATTTGATAATTTGAATATTTGTGCAGCCCTACTCTCCGCACATAGTAATTAGGCATTTGAAAAAAACAACTTTACATTCTTAATTTTCAGTGGCATTGCCAAGAATGCCACGTGCCAGATACTTTCAGTTTCCTTTTTGAGAACAGCTCTCTTTTGGCACAAAGATGGCACAAACTGGACACAAATACAACCTTTGGACGAGCATGTAGCAGGGTTTTCGTTGTGTCACAGTTTGGTGCAAATGGCACAGCAGTGCCACCACTGGAAGTGTCATTCATAATAAATAAGTAACTAAGATCATGCTTTGGTGTGGCCACTGTTTGGCCAAGGTTGTTCAATACTTTGTTGTTTCTTTTTGTATAATGTTCCATATGTATATTTTTTTTTTCTGTATCTTTTCAAGGTCTCTCTCCCCCCGGTTGCCCATGCCTATGCTTGTACATCTAGAATGAATATGCTTACTTCCTCCTAGTATTTTTCAGAGTTAATGAAGATTTGCTTTTGTGAGGTTGACTTAGCTACACAAAATTTTATAAGTGTACCTGGTAGTCAAGCATATTTTGTTTGGAAAATGATTACTAGAAAAAAGTATACTTCAAACAAAGTACAAATCCCTGCTCCTGACAGAAAGTAGAAGCAAGGTACAAGCTACTTTACTTACTAGGTGAAACTTACCTTCTTCGAGCCAGAGACGATCTGGCACGTTGCCGTGCTCACAGGCTGGATGAAGGGGGTCAGGATGCCGGTGCACATTGATGATGTGGCGGATCAGGGAGGTCCACTTGGCCAGGACCAGCTTGCCGTCGCCATCACTGGTACTAGCACACCAGTGAAGGTGACGGACAATAGTCTTACTCCACTTCAGGAGAACGTTGTGCTGTTTGGATCGAGCCGCCGCCACGATTTTCTTGTTTACACCTAAAAAGTAATGTAAGAAAAGTATATGATGACAGAACTGCAATCTTTGGATGGTTCTGGTCTGGAGGCTTATCTGCCAGGTAATGCAAGAACTTGGGCTAATGGTGACATGAACCACGACAGATACAGTCTGGCCGTGAGGACAAGATTTATTATTTAACAGATTGATTTTTAGTATAATGTAGTGGCATTTATCATTATCAAGCTTAGTAAAGTTTTTCACCATTGTCTGTTTCTTTTACTCCTGACAGCACATGTGCTTATTCTCCCATCTACAAGGGCACAAAATGTACTCTAGTTTCCCCACAATTTCTCCTCGCCTGCATGTCCGGGGTGTATAACCCTCAGCACAATAAACCACACCTCGTCCAATGCTGGAACTGCAAGAGTGCTGAAATTTTCACAGTATCATACACAGTATACAACTAGGTGTGCCTCAACTACACTCATAGATGGTTCTACACATCGCGACACAGTTAACACAAACACAGCATCGGCACTTTTTTGCGCTGTGCTCGGAGAATAAATTGTGGGATTCCATGTTTTATCTCCTTGTAGCATCACATGAGCCCTTTCCTCCATTAAGTAGTTTTGATTATAGCAGATCATTTGACAAAGTAAAACAGTAAGAACTGATGGTGGTGGCTTGTTTGCCCTAACTGCGTCGCACTTTGTACGTATCAGCACGAAGGATTAAGTTTGCACCTGTAGAAGAAGGAAGTTCTTAGGATGAATATCGAGGGAGTTTCCAGGCCAAAACTATCAGGAAACTGCAGCGAAATTAGCACGGTCTCTGCAATATGTTCATACTTATCATGTACAAGTATTATGTTTTTACAATCATGTTTTCAGCATTCCACTGCCCACCATGTCATAGATTATGCACCATCCCCCATGTACCTTATTTCAATTAAATTTCAAAGGGGGTCTTAGGAGAACTCATGCCAAGCATAACTGCTATAGTGTGGCACAGGGAAATATAGTATTACAACACTTATGCGACACATGTACCTCAAACTTGCTCAACTGCAACAAAGCCTTCCTGCAGTGTTTTACATCCTTTCAGCAGATGACAACACTAATCTGAACTGTTTATCAACACAGTGTATGGTTTTGAGTAAACACGGTTGCTCAGATAATTAAAAGAGGTAATCGGGCCTGCTTTTGGCACAACTTGGATTCAGAAAATTTTAAAAGACCAGCAACTCTAGGCCAGGAGTTGATACATCATGACTAGTCATACGTTAGCAATTGAGAATCACTGGAATACATTTTAGCGCTCAAAAACAGGAACAAAAGAACGAGAAACAGACAGCACAGTGCGCTACTAACAACTGATTTTATTACATGAAACCGACACTTTTATACCATCCGAGTTTCTGATTTCGCCCCATCACTAGCCAACCCGATACCAGGCCGCGTCATTGAGGAACTCGCGCTCCTTGTCCAGTATATCAATCGAGGCCACGCTGACACATGCTGCACCATTCTTCTTAATCTCATCTGCCTCGACTATCTCCCTCACAGTCTTTTCCTTGTGACGTGCCAGAATCTTGCTCTCGAAAAACAAGGTCACACAAAGGCACAAGAATCTTGCTCTTTTTTTCCGAGAGCAAGATTCTGGCACATCACAAGGAAAAGACTGTGAGGGAGATAGTCGAGGCAGATGAGATTAAGAAGAATGGTGCAGCATGTGTCAGCGTGGCCTCGATTGATTTACTGGACAAGGAGCGCGAGTTCCTCAATGACGCGGCCTGGCATCGGGTTGGCTAGTGATGGGGCGAAATTAGAAACTCGGATGGTATAAAAGTGTCGGTTTCATGTAATAAAATCAGTTGTTAGTAGCGCACTGTGCTGTCTGTTTCTCGTTCTTTTGTCCCTGTTTTTGAGCGCTAAAATGTATTCCAAGTTCCAAAACCAACTAGCCCAACAATCTACTCTACTGAGAATCACTGAACATGCATAGTACCTTTGGCAACGTGCCACACATCGAACCGGTGCTTGATGCCTGGGTGGTTCCTTTTCAGAGAAGCCTTGCCCTCCGAGTGTCTGTCAGTCACCAAGGTGTCCACCGTCATATCTTGGGCGCACAGGAAGTTAAGGGACCGTTCCATCCCCTCGGTCTCCATTCGATTACTCGAAGAGACTTCAGTGGACTGTAAAATATTTTTCAACGTATCAGGTCAGGTCTATATGTACCGTCTCACTGTCACCAAGGGGGAGCTAGGGTATAAATATAGTGAAATACTGTTTACAGTGCTAATATTATTGTATTGAAGAGCATCCAAGCTTGCAAATCAGTCTAGTCCTTTGCAGGGTCATTTACTGTCCTTAGCTTTAGTTGCTCTTCAACCTCAAGCCTGGATCTCTGTTAGATTTGTAGATAAGAGACACAAACTCTCTCTACAAATGTAGCACTCTTCATTTTATAATGACCTACCTTCACAAGCTCCGTGTGCAGGATACGATTAACAGATGTCTCGAGCAGAGTGTATGTGCCAAAGTCTGCACAATGGCCTGGTGTGTCGGCCCTCCCGTCTCCCGCGAGGCAGAGCTTTCTTCCTCGAAGCTCATCCAGGATGGTTGCTTGCTCATGGAACCAGACCTATGAAAAAACGAGGATAAGCAAGTCAAGTCCTGTTTACTGTTGCACATTGCAAGCTACCCTAACCTCAGATACTGCAGGAAGCATGTAGCATCGCTGGATCTTGAAATACTGCGACTTCTTCACTGACTCCATTCCAAGGAAGGAAAATAGTCGCAGCACCTTTGCGGGACTACTTCCCGAGAACAGGGTAGCAGAACACACAGCGAGGTTCCCCATTGGCTTTCTGTGGAGGACAGGCTGACTGCGCCAAGTGCAGACGTGGGACTTGGGACATGTGATGTCAGCTCGAACCATTGTCCCCACGAAGGACAGTTTAGCCGTGCACTGTGGTGTGCCGCAGATCAGGCACCTGTCCAGGAGTTCCCTCAGGTTCGACTCAAAAACCAGGAACTTCTTTTCGTAGAACCTCTCGGGCTTTGGTTGCTCGGTGGATGCATCGGTCCTAGAGTAATAAAGGAAAAAAATATGAATTATATCAGGTTGCTAAGAAAGCGGGTGCAAAATGTTAGAAGTAGCTTACAATAAAAGTACTAAGTATGAACAGCTTTCAACTGATCGGTCAGCTTGGCCTGATGCAGTTCTGCCTCATCATAGGGGTATTCATTTTTAAAAAGTACCAGATTGCCACATCTTTTTTTTTTCTTTGTACATATGCATAGAAAGCATTTAGACCAGATATATTTCTACTTAATCAGCAAGCTATGCAAACCTAGAATAATCCCAACTATTACCGGCATCGGAATACTTTCATACAATGTTAATGCAGGGTATGAAGCTCACTTTCTACTTATTTTTGTACCACGTGCTTCCGATTGCTATCAGAAGCCAACACAAAAACTTACTTAGGTCTACTACAAATCTGCTAAGGAGGTTCAGCATAGACTAACCAGTGCGCTATGCAGCTTTAGGAGTGGAAATCCTCCGACGATTTGCTAAAAATCGGGTTATGCAAATTGTTTTTATAAATTGCTTCCAGACCATGCATCACATTGCTGTCTTGTTTAAACTTGGGACATCAAAGGATAGCTTACTCGTCATCAGAATCATCCATGTCGCTCTCATCAGGGCAGTATGGTGGGTCTTTCCAGGCCTCCCTGCATGCGTAGAAAGCATTTTGCGTAATTGAGCATGCATAAAGACTTCAATATTCTCTTTAATAATAACCATTTCAAAGGTACAACACCACCTAAGAATCAGCCAGAAAAAAAAATGATTGCTTGATGTACCAAGCAACAATTTAACCTTTACATCTTCAAAATCACTAATAAAAAAAAAAAAAAAAAAGAAAAAAAGAAAACTTCAGGAGGCCTTTATAAATCCTCGAGTTTTAGAAAGCCAGCAGTTCAGAGCAGGCCAAGAATGTTTTTTCTTTTCTTCTTTCAGCTAACAATATTTTAGAAACTGAATTCTGAATCTGGGATTTGGTCCAGGTGAAACATACCCATGAGCTTTCTGTGGAGCTCCCATGTTCACAAAATGCCTGAAGCTTAAATTTAAACAGCAAACTTTAAAACAGAACATACTTCTAGCCGATTGGAGCAAAACAGACCAAACATTTATATGTGGGCATCCCCAACTTCCTCACAGGGCATCAACTCATATTTGTTCTGTCTGTAAACAGACATGTAGCTTCTTTTGCTCCAGTTGATTTCTTGCACTAATTTCAGGCAGAGGAGTAAAAGCCAAAAAAAGGAGTAAACAAGGTTTGGACATCTTATATATATATATATGTGTGAGAATCGGCCCCGCCATCACCGTGAATGGACGCGGGAACAGGACCGAGTTTCATTTTCTTTTCTTTGCGTGTTTGCGTTTGCACGTGTGCCTTTGTGTGTGGGTGAACTGGCAACGCTCGTGCGGGCTCGGGCAGGGGACATTTTGAAAGAAGACGAGGGGGACAGCGCGTGGAGAACCTTCTACAAGGATTCGGAAATTGGCTTCGCTTGTAAATAGACGTGTTTTTTTTCTTCCCCCTATCCGCGGAGTCCTGTCTGCTTTACTCTTCCGTCAGCGACCATCAGCTGCCTCCGTCGTCGGGTCCCGGCGCAATCTCAAAGAAAGAACATCTTTACTGGTGCAGTCGACAGGATTGCGTCAGCAGACCCCGGCGGCGTGTTCTTCACAACGGAATCGGCGGACAGGGACTTGACGCGGCTTTGGTGGAGCCTTCTAAAGAGAAGACTGGACCACCGAGCTCCTTGAAGGCTGGACCACCGAGCTACTTCGTGGCGACAGAGCTACCTCGGACCAGATGCCGTCCCACTCCAGCGAGGAACGCCTGAATCTCCAGCTCGGACATCATTTTCGTGCCCGACTATTCTGAGCAGCGGGCTGCGTCTGTGATCCAGCAGCAATCGTTGACCTTGCGGTAAGGTGATTCTTTGACGTGTGCCCGCCATGGATACAGACAGCGCAGAGCGGCGGATGCCGGTTCTAACGCCAGAGCAGAATAGGGGTCAGAATAGGGATGTTGACGGGCCAGGTGAATCGTCACCTTCGAGTGGAATAGTGGCAAACACACAGACACAAAGGGAGGGGAACGGAGGAATCCGATCAGACAGCTTAATCAAAAAGGAGATAGAACTAGTGAAGGAGAAAGAACGGCTAATACGTCTCGAGCTAGAGCTAGAACATCTACGCCCAGGGAACCGAACGTGAGCCAGTGAAGGCGGCATGGAGTTCGAACTCCGAAATGAAGCTTTAAGCTTTTCCAGATTGATGAAGGAAGTACTGACTCCCATGCCGTCGTCCGATACGTTAGTACCAAGCTGGTTTGACACCTTGGAGAATGTTTTCGAGAGGTATATAGTCCCTCAACGGCTTAGAGGATATCTTGTGCGACCTTATTTCACGGAGAGCATGCGTGCACTAGTGAATAGGCTAAACGTGGGTGAGAGAAGTGGGTATGATGCGGTCAAAGAACGGGTCTTGCTAGAGATCGGACTGTCGGAAGCTGAAGTCTGGAGGCCCTTCGTTGAAACCACCACTTCTCTCAAGGAAAAACACAAGAGCCCAAGGCAGGGCATCATACCTAAAAATTCTCGGGTGAAGTGCTTTAAATGCAAGGAATTAAAGCACCTTTCCCGCGAATGTCCCCGGAAGAAGACACCAGACGGAGATCTTCTATTCCACAAGAAAGGAGTAGATGCCGAGAATGTAACTGTGGAGGAAGACTCCAGCCGTGAGCCCGACAAGGCGACGACCGATGTGGGCAAGACCGACGGTAACAAGTTGGACCACCAAGGTCAGAAGAGACCAGACTCATCGGTCCGCGAGGCACCTCAGATTGTGTTACAGGCCGACGATACGAAGCGGTCGTCAAAGAACAATCGCAGCTGCGTGTCTGCGCGGGCTGACGTTGACGATAGAAATGAGCTGAATGTCTCGCGTGCCTGGGAAACGTCCCAGCGAGCCGAGGATGACGACGACGAGCAGGGGAACGTCGACGACGAAATGCCGTACCCTTTTCCTCGGCAGCAAGCATCCCGGCGATCTGAGTACGACAGATGTGTGAACTTCGACAACGTCGAGGCCGGTCCCGACATCTTACCTGGGTTGCGCAAGTTCCGGCAATCCAATGACGACCATGTTGAGAACATGGGCGTCAGTTGCAAGGAAGATCCGAGAGTATGTTTTGGGAGACGAACGTTCCGGCAAGCCGAGGACGACAACGGCGAGAAAGTGGATGACGATGAAGGACTGAACTTACCGCCTGGTCGGCAGGCGTTTTGGCGAGCCGTGGACGACGGCGGGGAGAACGTGGACGACGACGACGAACTTAGTATCTTGCTTTTGTGGCAGACGTTCTGGCAAGCTGATGATGACCACGGGAAGCATGTGGGTGTCGACAAGAAGCCGGACATGTTGTCAGGGCGGCTGACGTCACAGCGGGCCGGTGAAAATCTCAGGGAAAGCGGGGACAGCCACGAAGACGCCGTCTTCAAGATCAAGCCGTCCCAGAATATAGCTAGAAACGCCGATGAAGGCTCGATCACCTGCCAGCCGGCCACGTGTGACAGAGCTGCGAGTGCAGAAGACGTCGACAACGGCGACCGCCTGCGAGGATCATTCCTGATTCGCAAATCAGGACAGAATATAGACTGTCGTCGCTCTTGCGCGGCGATGTTCAGGAACCAGCCATACTTCGTCCGATTCAAGCCCCGTCGAAATCTGGATGGCTTGAATAACCTGTCAGCAAAGAGACCAAGGCTAGGAGCCTAGATGCTGCGCTAGTCTCGGCACGAGCTTTGTCATTCCTTTGGAGCCTTGGTGGGCACAGTAAGAATCAGTTTACTAGCATATGATTTGCGTATTGGTGTAAGTTTATTTTTTTTTATAGTTTGGATTCTGACGGGTTGAGTCACAAACTCTGTGTAAGGTGTGACGGATATGCGGACGCGTTTGAGTTTAGATGTTATATATTATTTTTGACATTTCGGGTCTAAAAAATATACTTAGTCGGGAGGTGTGAAAATCGGCTCCGCCATCACCGTGAATGGACGCGGGAACAGGACCGAGTTTCATTTTCTTTTCTTTGCGTGTTTGCGTGTGCACGTGTGCCTTTGTGTATGTGAACTGGCGACGCTCGTGCGGGCTCGGGCAGGGGACATTTTGAAAGAAGACGAGGGGGACGGCGCGAGTGACAATCAGCTGCTTCCGTCGTCGGGTCCATGCGCAATCTCGAAGAAAGAACATCTTTACTATATATATATATATATACTAGGAAATTCAGCAAACTATAGACTGCGCGCTGCTCAGGCAAAATGGCGGACGAAAAGAGGTCGTTTTCGTCGTTCAGCACGCGGACCACCACAAATTCCTGCACTGCAGCGTAAAATCAGTGTTACATTTCAAAGCAAAGCGATTTTTCGACGGTAGAAACCTTCTTATAGTCAGTGCGTAGGAATGATATGGCGGAATTATAAAAATAATTACTGGAAACAATGTTTGTTTCTATGCTGCCTACGAGAACCAAGCAGCGATAGCAGACGACAGAGTCGAAACGACCTCCTTTCCTGAGCTTCTCGGCGCTGCCGCTACGCGGCGACGATTTCGTTGGAGTCGCGAATACTCACGTGTCTCCATCACCACTTAGTGCTGTGACTGCCTCATCATCCGTGTCGTCCCTGAAAATGTATTAAAGTAAGTCAAGCTTTCTGCATAACTGAAGATATATAAATGTCCCTCTTTCAAAGCTGCAAGGAGTCCTCCCAAATTGGAACATTTTGTGGTGCAAGTACATATGTACCAGCAATAGGGCAGACAGGGAGCGCTAGCGGAATTAGGCAACAGGAGAGAGCACGAGATGGTGAACGCTTGCCTAACTGATTACTTTGTGTAAGACATGCCACATTTATTTTTTCCTCGCAATGACCTTTCTAAATAGTACTAACTGTACGTGAGACACATGAACCATCTGGTACTTTTAGCATTGTTGTTTGAGATTGGAACACCAGTAACAACAAGAAAGCAGTGCTACGGAGTCCGTCACAATGCAGATGATGCAATGTACCCCCTTACAACAATGTCTGTCATCAAGAAATGCTCAACAAGTAGCTGGAAGTGTCAGTTCCAGAATGGCAACACTGAAAATTGCTTAAAAACATTAGCTAGGCAATGATATCTAATTTGCAAGGTATTGTAAGTGGCCTTACATCGTCTTTTGCATGATGAAAGTTGTATCCTAGGATGATACCTGAACGGTCTTGCTAGAACCGGCACCTCATCTGAGAAAAGGTGAAACAGAGCCAGCTAACCAAGCCTGGGGCACACAGTTCATTGAGTCTCGAGTTAGCGTTTCACTCCACTCATGCACTAGTCTTGACTGCTTTTTTTCCCCCACTCTCAGCTGCGACGCTGGTTTTAGGAAGTCAGTCCTCATGTAGCACTTGACTGAAATTGAAAGCCTCACCCTTGTTTCTCGGCATCTGCTAAAACATTTTAATAACGACGGCATTTTACCTAGGCAGAGATATTCCTTGAAAACCTGTCTGCTAAAAAGATTTCACATTCTGGTATAGTGCCATATGTGTCCAAGCTAGGAGGTCTCAACGTTCAGCACCGTAAATACCACAATGTGCAATGCATACCCGTCGGCGTGATCGCCAGGTTCATCAGGATGATACACGGTTGAAGCTTGTAAAGGTGGCCCTTGTGTGCCTGCTGTGCTGTCGGTCTGGCTACCCACATGGCAAATCGATTGCTGTGTCTGAGTGCCTAAAAAGAAGTGCATTTTAACATGCTTGAAGCAAATGTGTGGCTGGCATCAATCGCAACGCTGGAAGATATGCTACTGATAACAAACATGCAGTTTCAAGTTAAAGCACAATAAGATCTGCATGGGTATATTCCAGCACTTCAAACAAGATTTTATATTGCCAACAGATGAATATCAGAACTGATAGACTCGTTCAAAATAAAAATGATTTCAGACCATGTGCAACATCCTGTGCTGCTTTTCGTTTCAACCAAAGAACTGCATACATATATTGTTAGCTAAGCATGTGACTCACTTCTTGGTAAGGAAGGGTAGGCCACCATAAGGGTGCTGCAGACATAAAAAAGCATAAGGTTTAAAAGCACAAACAGACAGGGACAATAAGAAATAACAGAAACGGCAGGGATGGGAGGCTGTCGTTTGTGTTATTTCCTGTTGTCCCCGTCTGTTTGCGCTTTTAAACTTTATACCTACCGTAGACCAACTAGTCCAAACCAAGGTTTCAATAAAAGATCACCTTTCTTATTTCCAAAGAGGTGCTGCATGCAGTGTTAGAACGTAGCCAAAAAGGGAATTGGGGTATGTAAAACAAAAGCAATGAGATAGGCACGGAAGCATTACATAGGTAGGATGTAAGAGACCAAATAGATTGCAGACAAGCCCTCAAGTTTCTACACTCTTGGCTTAAATTAACCAAGAATCATGAAGATTGGATAGAAAAGTGATGTTAGATAAGGAGCACTAAATTACCTGGAAGGAAAACCAGGCACATGTTTTTGAACAATATGCTGCACCTGAGAACATGTTGGCAGAAGTGTTTCATCGACATTACGGTGGAGACTAAAAAGTCCTAGGTAAACGGTGTGAATCATATGTCCTCAACCGAGGCATCTCTTGCATAATGTCCATTAACATAATGCATCTTTTGTCTCGTGAAGCATTCCACAAAGCTGCCGCATTATATACGACCACAAAAAGCGCACACAATGTCTTCACGCTTGGCTACCAATCAGGCAGTCACAAATGTTTAAAACAAGTAATGCCAGTTCCCTGCAACTATCATGTGAGGAGTGAACTGTGCCATTAGGTTAGGTTAAGTTGTGCCATGTCAGGAGTTGGGCTACACAGTTGAATTTTTTATTTCACAATAAAAGAATAAGCAAAGCAAATTCCAAAGGAAGGAAAGCAATCTAATGATTGGCTTTTTTACGTACCAATGCTTCTGCACCTGAAGGCTGTCTGGGTCATCTTCTTGTTCGTCCCCAGGGGAATATTGGCTTGGCAGCCAACATCAGCACTCACTGATTGTGAGTGTTCCACGTTCGAGCCCTCACTGTCTTCATCTGTGACCGGAACCGGAGAAGCTCCTTGGTCAGATGGTCCAGGCTCAGCACCACTCATTGCTTCCTGCACCAGCTGTGTTCGATAATGCATGATTTAGACTGAGACAGAATACTTTCATTACCAGCCTACCATGTTCTGTACTATACTGCATTCTTTAAAAAACACAAATAGCATGAAGACATGTACAAAGTAGAAGGGGACTAACAGGAAAATGCTGAAATGTTACATGTGTTACCTGCTGATATTCAAGTAACACACCATGTAATGCAATGACATCACCTGGCAAATGATGTCAAGTACATAACGTCGTCACGTCACTTTGTTACACGACCAAGTAACCACGTCACATAACGGGACGTAATAATATCACATGACATCCCGTCATAGATAACAGAAGTCAAAGAATTACACTGCCATCTTAAGCTACTCTGCTATGCAGGTCAAAAGATGTGCACACTGTTTCCTATCAAATGTTTGAAGGACAAACTTACCCCAGTGAAAAGTAAAACAATTAGAATGCTTTTCACCTATGTCAAGCATCTGTCTGCTAATTACATAAGTCTGGCGGGCGGAAGTGGTCGTGTTAAAGAGAGTGGACAAGCTCGATGAGCCAAAAACAGCGCTTGCTTTTTGGTGTTTGTGGGCCAGCATAATGTTTTAGCGAATTGAACGGACATGAAACGAATAAGGAACATAGTGTGTCGGGGTTCTTTTGGGTATTGCTTTCAGCTCCGTATGGGTGGACACACTTTGTAGGCTGTTTCAACCATCTGTCGGCTATGAGAGCAGTCAGGCTCCTGTTGTTAGCAGACGGGTGCCTTATATAAAAGAAAAAAAAAACAATTTTTTTTATTTCTGTACTTTTTACTCAGGTATGTTTTTTCTTCGAAATGTTTACAGAAAAGAAGCACCACCTATGGGCACCACTAGTAAATCACAGCTAAATGCAATAGCAAACTGATTCATGCAGTCTCTTCAAAGGGCCATTGAACTCACGCAGAATGTGATTGTTAGCAATCATCTCTTGCTTCTTAACAAATTTGCATTTCTCTTCCTCAGACTCAAATAGTATTTTACCTCGCAGAAAACAAAGTAAAGATATGTGGCAACAGAGAGATGTTTTAAAAAATCAAGGAACTACCGCAAGGACCTCTCATAATATTAATAAGTGTGGCGACACCATTCCTAACAATGAAGGAGACACCATCTAAAAGGACGAAGCAATTACTGTGTAGCAGTTCCATAGGCAAGCTGTGCATTATTTCTTTATTTTTTTTTAACCATGCCACTAGCTACGTGATGCAACAGGTACACATAAATACATTTCTCATCTATGGGAATGTCACCTAATGCATGCGGCACGCCCCCAACGGACGCTCCCCAAGTGGGACAGACGATGACCGGACACGAGTCTGTAAAAAGCTCCTCCGCGAGCGGATATCATGGAGAAGCCTACGCACGAGCAGACGGAAAGCAATTCACTATTTTCGCCTTCTTTATCTTTCCCTTCTACCTCATCGTATTTAATACTAATAATATAATGATTAATGATTTGCACAAACCTGGGTGGCGTGGAAGGCCCCATTTCCCTCCGCCTTCGATGGGGGCACGGGTGCCTCGATAATAACCGAAACCCTGTCTAAATTCATTCACTCGCTCGCTCGCCTCGCCCGCCCCCGCCCCCGCCCCCGCCCCGCCCCCGCCCCCCCCCCCCCCCCCCGTAATAATTAAATAAATACGTAACAACGCTGACAACAATCCACGAGCCCCCGAGAGATGTGAGGTCGATCAACGAGGCGCATCAAGGGCCGCCGCATTGAGTGACGCTTCGAACTTCTCTCTTGTTTTCCGGTCCAATCGCTGGCACTCAACTCGCCCAGCACAATACATATGACATGCAAATACACGGACAGTTTCAACTCTCCTCGAATCCACGCCATTTCGTAGAAAGGAAACGACAGCTGCGTGAGAAAAGCGAGATCGTTTCTCGAGCGGTCACGTGAATGAAAGGAAACCCAAAACAAACCTCTGTTCTTCTTCTCTTCGCCAGCGCGCCTCTTTCGATGCGGGGTCGTCGGGGCTCATTGTACTTGAATACTGTGGGCACGGCACCAGGCTTCAGCTTACGATACCCACGGCCAAGGCCGAAGTCCAACTTGAGCAGGCTTGTCACCTCAAAACACTCGGCTTCAAAGTGTTCGGAGCACACTCGAGTTGCAGCCGTCGGGCTCCATGCTTTACGCCGTACAGCTCGGAGCCACTGCTCGCGCAGGACGCCATCCTTCGGAAAGCTATGAAAGGACACGTTTGGAGAATTTTTGCTGCTGTTCGTGCAGTCAACGGCAGAGCACCAGCTTCCGCCACCCATTCTATGGGTACGGTAACTGAGTCGCGATTTTGCCTACCATACGTTCTCGGTAGCACCTCGAGATCGAAGCGGGCGGGCGCAGAAGCAATGGCGGGGATACCCAACAACGACGTCACTTCCCGTGCGACTAACATTGTTGCCAACTAAGGTCCGCTGGTTGGAACTGACTTCAAACACGTAACTTAAAAATTTAATAACTGCACGAATTTTTTTTATTTCTTCGAAATATTTCACCAAGTTGTTGACTAGTGCCTACTTGTGCGGTGAGGCAAGTTTGAGGCGAATCGGGGGGCATGAAAAAAACGACGGACTACCCCTTTAAGGACTATATAAGGACTATTTAAGATAGATAAGAACGTACTAGAACCATATAAGAAGCTAGTGAGAAGTTTCTTATCAGCTTCTTATATGGTTCTTAAATGTTCTTAATATCTTATATCAGGGGTGACCAAGCTGCGGCTCGCGAGCCGCATGCGGCTCTTTGCGTGTCAAAGTGCGGCTCGCGGCTCCCTAGCGTATCCCCCCCTCCTCTTCCCCGCCTCCCTCCCGGTCAACGAGCACTTCCCCGAAAGGGAAAAGGAATGCGTATTGAAGCGAACGACAGGTTGCAGTTTGGTAGTCTTGTGCTACTACATCCTTATGTACAATTGAATTGCTTATGACTCAGACAGATTGAAAGTAGTTTGAGTTTTCATTGCTCTGGACAAAAGTTTGCCCCCTCCCCCCCTTCCCCCCTTCCCGCGGCTCTCGGAAGTTTTGTTGATTTGTTTGCGGCTCTTAGGCCGGGTTAGCCTGGCCACTCCTGTCTTATAAAGTTCTTATATAGTTACCGTATGGTTCTTCTATGTTCTTATATATCTTGTATGACTAAGATGTGTTTATTGGACACAGAAAATGCTCATACAAATGGCTTTTTCACTAGGGTGATGCATGATGCGAGCACACCTGCATGCATTTAAAAGAAGTTTGAGATGACAAGACTAAATGTTTCACGTGCAATAAAGAAAGAATAATAAAGAAAAGAAGAGGAAGGAAGAATCTTATACCGACCGGCCGACCGTACACAGCGACTCGTATTTGTGCTAGATGGTTCACACTTAGTGTCGAGTAAACTAGTGGGCAATAAAACAACTTAGCAGAAGCAATTTCCATGTTGTTACGTAAACGGAGTGCGCAAGGGGGTTGCCAACCAAATTCCTTTCAGCCGTGGCTGCACCTACTTTGCACAAACTGGTCGCTGTTTCAGTGGCAGAGCTTGCGAAAATGCGTTATTTGTACAAAACAGCTTTGGTGGTCATCTCGATTAGCACTCTAAATGTTGCGTGAACCGTGCATGAAAGCAATAAAAGTTTAAATCTAGGAAACGAATGGACTGAGAAAAATAACATTGGCTTTTTTACCGACAAGGCTGAAGTCAATTGCGTCAGTACGCCTTGTTTAGGTCGTACTGACAAAATAATATGGCTTATTTATTGTTTTATCCACTCTCAATGTCGAACGGTTTATAATTTTATTGTATTTTTATTTGCACGCATGCACGAATGAGGACATATGCAGACATTGGCATGAATTGCATGAATTGAGACTCCATTAAATTAATTTTGGAAGTTAGCGCCATTCTTTGCATATTTTTTTATTAGTCATTGGCTTGTTGATGTTTTTTCTTTTATATATCAAATCTAAGATAGGACTCTAATATCATTCCTTGTATTGAAAGTCCTGATGCCTTTAAATTTTAAGGAGCGTTTACAGCCCTCTTGACTGATACCCAAAGAACACCAGCCAGTCTCAGCATGAATGCAATTACCACAGAAACCTACATACCTAAAAATCATAATGCAAACAAAAGAGCACGTTTGCCACATAGTCCGGCATAAAAACGTGGCTCAAATATTTGAAATTAATTTGTAATGAAGAAAGTTTGTAAATGCAACTTCTAGGCTCTGAATTTGATAGCGTGAGCAATCAGGAAAACCACAGTATGGCGAGCAGTTATTTGCAGCCTACCAGAAATACGGCAACGCTCTCATCCAACGCGTATGTAATAAGAACATTCACTTCTTCAAGCACGATAAGCGCTGTTGAAGAACAATTCATTTCTAGAGGTATATTTATTGACTCAAATGTGGTTCATGTGACAGTTTTCTTTTTAACTTTAACTCTCGCTTCATACTGTAGCGACCAGGCACGGCGGCAAAAAAGAAATCAAGGCGACGTGCACGGGACATTGAAGTCTTCCGGCTGCCACAGCCGCTCACAATAAATAGTATTAAACATTTATGTATTCTTACTCTACATATTGGTGCGATAATGGTGTTTATTTATTTATTTGTTGCCTACATCGCCCGGTGGGTATTACAGTAGGATGGTCGCAAATAATTATACAAAAACGATAATATAAGGAAACAAGCAAATAAAAACAAAATCATACAGAATAAATATACCAATACAGAATACAGTAATATGAAACACAATCAACAGCAACCACAGGTCAAACGAAGTAAGCCGTCAAAACAAATTTCAATAATACGGTTTCATCAAAAAAGGATTGGAGATTCGGGAAGCACGTTCCAGGCGCTTATTGCTTGGGGCAAAAATACATATTTTAGAACGCCAGTACCTGAAAAAATTCTCAGATCTTTTTTTATTGCTAGACCGAAGAAAAACACAATGAGGTGCCATTAGGTATTTTGATTAATCTTTGCCGATGCTAAAGTAATAT